GGCTTTAGATTCTCAGTGCTGTGCTTTAACCCGCTGTGCCTCCAGGGAGGGCCATGTCTTTCCTATTTCTATTAATGATGCCATCATACCTCAGATCACATTCAGCCAATTAAAATTCTCTAATAGCATCCCACTGTACTTAGTTTTAAACCCATCCTCCCTGCCAGGGACTGAAGACCCCTTGTAATCTAACCCCTGCCTCTCTCTACAGACTTCTCTCCCAACATACTTCATCAACAAGGCTTAGCTTTCTTTCTGTTTCTTGAGCCTACTAAGCTTTTTCCATTTCTTTTTTAGTGTGTAGGGTTGGTTTTCAGAAAAGCTAATTTAGATGATGTAATTCTTCTGCTCTTGGAACTTTAATGTATTCTTTCTTGAGGAAAAAGCATAAGAAGTAAAGTAAAATACTTTTCTTATTCGAGTCTCACAAATCTCAAATTAAGGTGTCAGAATGGGGTTGACCAGCCTGCTCCCTCTTACCCCTCCTGGGCAAAGTGATTTCTCCTCACATTTCTAGATTCATAACGTTATCTGTTTGATCATCTTCAAGAGCACAGGTGGATACAAAGCATTTTGCTCTTGTACTATAGGGCTCTGTATATACTACAGCTTCTGAACATCCCACACTTTCTTCCCAGGAGGCATTCCAGTTGTGTACCTACCCCTGGGCCTTTTTCTCCAGGCTCTCCTTTTTGAGCATCACCCTGTGACAAATAAAAATTTGGTCAAATTTCCACAGTGCCATTGAATGACTGATTGCTCAATAAAATGCATTATTCAGAATCCCCAGCTTAATAGATTGATCAATAGGGGAAAAAATCTTTGTCCTTCAGAGTGCACATTTTTACCATAAAACCTAGAGCAAGAAACAGCTGTTCAGATAACCTTTGCCTTTTGGAGCAAAGCCAGATGAGTAAGGTACTAAATCCAGGTACATTTTCACAGTGTGGACACAGTTTTACATGTTAGTTTGACAACACAGCCATTGTATTCAAATACAGCATTGTACTCACTCAGACCCAGCCATTCTGGCTTTTCTCCAAGGGCTTTGGAATGTTTTCCAAAATGTCCTCAAGAGTGATTTCAGTCAGATTTAGCCAAATATATTAATGTGGCACAAATCACAAACCAAACAAGTGAAATGTAAAAATAGAATTAATACAGATACTTAACAAAAGCAAAAAGAGGTTATGGTGGCATCAATTCAAATACAAATAAGGTGAATGAGTATAGGAGTGTGTGTGTGTGTGTGTTTGTGTGTGTGTGTTGAAAGCTACCCTCTCATAGACAAAAAAGCAATTGGCCAAGAAAAATCTATTTTTTTCATTACTTTATATTTTCTGAAAGCAAATGGGGGAGGTTAAAATTTTAATATTTAAAAGGTTCTATGTATCACCTAATTGTTTTCCAAAATGCTTATGCCATGTCACCTTTGCAGTGACAAGCAAAGTGGTTCCACTATGGCATAACTATCACAGCTGGTTCAAGTTAGTTGTCTTAACTGCTGTAAGAAAGGTATTTCTTTATTCATTTGAAACACATAAAAACAAACTTCATGAACTAGAAAACTGTCCCACTTCCTCCTCTCCTGCACCCCCAAATAACTCCACAACTCTGGACTCCAAAGCCTTTAAATTATGAGTAATTACTTCTAAAGTGTCCCCCCTCTATAGATTTTTCTTGAGGTGCTCAGTATAGGCCTCTCTTCACTTTGATATGCAGGGGTCAGTTATGCCCCTGTGAGCTTCCAGAAGTCTGTTACCATCATTGGGGCAGGAAAGGAAAAAAATAATAATACAGATCTTTCTTATTAAGAACAGGGCCCAAAAGGCTATGAGAAACTTCTCTCCTTGCCTAACTACTTCTTTCAAATGGAAGAAGAAATCCTTAGAAAATGTAATTTGTAATATTTCCAGTTGTAGGTTTGTCAGTAAACAAGTCTCTCTAAGAATCTTTCATCTCAGAGTAAGGATGAGGTAAAACCCCACCTTGTCTGTCTTGTGAAGTATCTTGCTCTCTTTCCTTGAGGCCCCAGGTCCCTAAACACAGGATAAATATTCCTGTCCTTCTCTATTATTCTTTGGAATATACAACCATGTCAACTCCCCACTCCCATGTTATTGATAATTTCACCTGTCTAATGCTGTTTTGATCGCTCACTCAGGAAAATAGAGGATGGTTTCTTTTGTACCCACACATCCCTATTTAAATTTCATTCATTATCTATTGAAATTAAACGTCTTTTTTATTTACTAGTTTTATTTCCTCTCTAAAAATTTGCTGTGTCCTTTGACCATTTAATTATTACAGGCTTGATGTTTGCTCAACCATTTTTTACATAATTATATCTCCTCATTTCTCTTCTGTGATCCCTTTAATGGCTCTTAAACTTGAAACACCATCACTCTAACAATGATATGAATAAGTCATTAGAAAACATTAATCTGGATTCTTTTATGGGCACACAAGGCAAAGAATTGGGAAAAGCCTGAAGGTCAGTGAATGAGAAATAATTTGGTGTTTTCCTGTTATTATTATAAGGCAGTTACCTATAAAGTAAACCCATAAAAAACTCAAGTACCAATGGTAACATTTCACTAATGAAGTTGGCTCACACTATTTAGCTACAACTTCTGTTTATCCAATGTTTTCAGGTTACCTAAATGTATTGACTAAAATGGTCATTTGCCACTCAAAATTGGTGAATGCAAGCCAGATAGTCAATTTAGGAAGCAAACATCCCACACTCTTCACAGAAATCATTGGATTTTTGCTATGGAGATATACTATAATGTTCTTTGTTTTCTTATTATTTGTTCTTTAAATAAATCTCAAAGGAGATAAATTGGTTTAAATAAGAACTGTTTATCCATTTACCGGGTTTCCTTTTGGTCCTCGCTCACCTTTAATACCTGGGTTTCCATGTGTACCCTGAAGGCAAAGAGAAAAAAAGTGATATTAAGAAGGCATTCAATTAGTTTCTTATTATTTCTGAACCATTTCAGCCCATAAAAGGAAAGATCATAAGCAACAACTTTACCCACCAAACAAAGATTCAACTCTGTTCTCTCCTTTACATACCAGAGACACTACTGTCTGAGTAGACAGAACCTCAAACTTACACGCATTTTCTCAAAAAAGAATTTCTCTCTCTCTTCCTCTCCCCTTCTTCCTCTTTCTCTGGCAGTTAATCTTAAAAGATGGCAGTAGAGAGTTCTCCAGTTCTGTTCTAGAAAGGCACTTTGTTTCCCTATTCATGAACTACCAAAAGCTTAGTATTCAAAGAACTTGTTTCAGGGGCATTCAGTAAATGTTGAATAACATTCTTGGCTATCACTATCATGGTGTGGTAATCACCTCTAAAATATTGAGCATCTAAAATTGGCAGATTAGTAATTATATGTTAGTATTCATTCTAAAGCATAACCATATATCTCAAGTAAACCTTCCACTGGCAATCTCTTGGTATAATAAGACTTTATAGAAAGATTGATTTAAACCATTGCTTTGGTCAGAGTCTGTTCCCACATTATATTATAATGTATCTAATTTAGTATTCTGAAGGGGAAAATAAAAGACAAACACTTCTACTTTCTAGTGCTTGGTTTGTAGAATTGTTTGAAAAAGCATAGGCTTCAGACCTTAAGGTAAAATATATTATAGTCTAAGCAATTCATGTACACATTCCCCTACCTGTCTCAAATATCTCACTGGGCTTCTGGCCTCAATACCAAATGAGCAGTTTGGAAACGTTTGATGACAGGAATCAGAGAAATGTTCATCATTGTGAAGTCACTTCAAATACCTTTTCTATAAAGACATGGCTTCTACAAACTATAAGGCCAGAATATAAAGGAAACTTTCCTTTTGGATTATTTTATCTAAGTATTGAATCATCATACTAAATCCTACTGTTTATCTTTGGTTGCCAAGTGTTTACTTCTATTTCACAGAATTTACACTAACCCCAAAGCTTCCTGCCCACAAGGCCACACAATGCTGCACCTGGGTACATGCAAAGATGCAGGTACCTTCTGGAGAGTTCTGTGGTACTTGTTTCTAGGTGGAGTAGGATAAAGCCTAAATCACTGAGGGCTTGTATGAACTCTCTTTTCATATTTTCACTCCAGTACTGAGAAATTCCAACCTCAACTGTCACATCAGAAGCAAGGATAAAATATCCTTTGAGCACACAACTTCATCATTTTAAGCTAAATCTGTCCTCAGTTCAGGTCAATGAATCCCAAAGCTTATATCTAAGGACAAACCATATCCCTTTAGGAATAAAAGAAAGAAACAGCATTTCTATTTTTGCTGCTACCTACACACAACTGCTTTTCAGCAGCATAAAGTTGACCCTGTGTTTTCAAATGTGATTAGAGCTGTCATTGCTAGGACTCCCGACTTAACCCTAAGTTCAAAGTAGACATATACTCACAGGAAGTCCTGGGTCTCCTGGATCCCCCTTCTCACACTCACAAATCTTTTGTTCACACTGAATGGATAATTAAATACAATATTAGCACACAGTGAAATAGCTTTTAAAATCTGCCCCAGTACATAGCTAAATGAAACATTTCCTTAAAGAAACTTTGCCTTGCAAATTTTTGGAGATTTTACTCTTAAATTCTAGGAAAATGCAGATTAAATAAGAGTCACCCCTAGCCCCTGCTCCTCTGGCCTACACCCAAGTTCTTTTACATACACACACACACACATACACACACAAAATTTTTTAAATGCCCAAAAGTAATATAAATAAATAATTTTAAAATCTATTTCTAAATAATTCAAAGGGACTCTTTCCATAATTTTCATAAAATTAAAAATTGCAATTGATAAGAATGTTCTTTATCATAGTTTAATTGGCAGGATTTTTCTCTTAATAACACATAAAATAATGGTGTATCTGTAGCTGACTATATACATGATTTGATTGACTCTTCATGATGCTAAATAAGCAGTTATTTATTTGTAATATTCAAATTTCCAACTGTTTGCCTGAAGAAATGCTGAGGAGGCCACAGCAAGTTGATGGTCATTTATTGTGCCAAGTACTATCCAAATATGTGTGCCAGCTTGCTTTTGTCACTTAGTCTGGCTGCTACCATCAGGAAGAAGAATAAGCTTAGGGCTCTCCCTGGTGGCACAGTGGGTTAAAGTGTAGCACTTAAAGCCGTGGCTCCCTGGAGTTCGATCTCCACTTAGGAGGTGACCCACACGGCGCAGCAGACCTCTCCTGTCTTGCCCGCTGCTCCTCTCATCAGTGTACTTCTTTGATCTGCCTGTTCTGCTCCCTACTCTGGCTATGGTGAGTCCTGCTTCTCTGACCTATACCCCAGTTCTACATGCATAAATAAATATTAAAAAGAAGAAGAAGAAGAAGAAGCTGAAAGGCAGTCTGCAAATAGAGGCTACCCTGAGCTGTCTCTTAGCCAGGATATTCCTAACTTTGGGCAATACCGGGCACATCCCCCACAGTAGAAGACCCCCTCACCCCAGAAGACATTCTAAGAATAGAGGAAACGTAAAAAGTAAGCAAAAATGATGCCATTTCATTATTTTTGAGTTCTAAAGTCACTCTCTATACGTCATATTAAATATTTACTATTTTTCTAAGTTTTCCAACCTGCAGTGAATGTGGTGATATGCAAGAAATCAGATAGCTGCTTTAAATAGAATGGCTCGTTTGTAAAATAATGAAGCATTTTTATTTAGTTACAGCTTATCTTGTAATGTGAATACTAATGCTGATTTGATGATGTGAACTTTTAGAGTAATTCATAATAATCAAAGCATGTGGTGCTTACCTTCTTTTCAAATAAGATATCCTAGGAGGAAAAAAAGAGAATAAAACATTAACTCAATTCATGGTTCTGCTTCCAGCTTCTTATTAGTCTTAATTATTCCCTATGGGATATGCAATTTCCAAGAAGAATAGCAATTCAGCCTTTTTAACCTTGTAAAAGCAGTAAAGCCTACCAACCAACCACCCAATGAACACTCTAAGCCTTAAAAATAATAGAAGTGAAGGGTACTTACATTAAAAATCATTGTTTTCTAGGAACTCTATCCATTGCATTCTATGCATGCTCTTTTGTTTCCTTTATCTGTTCTATAATCTCCATAATTTGGCTACAAGCTTAATCAGTCATAATGAGAAATTTTTCCTTTTTACAACCACAACTTAGGCAGAATACATAATTGTGTATTTCCTATTTTTCTATCACTGTATATAAATGCATTTGCTTATTGGCATTAAAACATTAATTTTAGAGTCATAACTTCATGAAATATTAATGATCCTTGACAGTAATCAGGATTACTCTCATTTTGCAGTAAGGAAACTTGGGAAAACAGTAGCATAACTTGCCTGAGGTCACATGTCAGGGCTGACACATCTGACCAAGTTCAGTGTTATTTCCTCCTTACTTGCACAGACATGAACTCACTGCAATATTTTTCAAAATCATTTTCAATTTACAACTTTAGAGAAATTCATGGTTTGGCCCAACAACTCAACCTCACTGCCCTACTTCAGATATCAGGTATCATTGATAAATACACTGAAGGTCATGTCTGAAGTCAAGCACTGGAGAGAAATTAACCTAATCTACAGGAAGAATTATTGATTTCTTAAGAAATCAGAAATTATGTGTCAAATTAGTGCCTTAAAATTGAATATGAAATAGTCACTTATAAAAGACAAATAGAAAATGGAAGTAAAAAGCACTAGGATATTTGTTGTAAGATATTAAAAATGAAGGATACAATAAGAAAGCTAAAGACAAGTCAGAGCTGTTAACTTCCCTTTTGCCACATCCCTTTATATTTCTTTTACTTCATTTTCCATACAACTAGTAATATCAAGGGAAAACAGCAGAATATTTCAATTGGCTCTATTGATTAATGGCAGGACAGGAAGGAGGTTTTTGGTTGGAAATTAAATAATTTCCTGGGTTTTCATCCCATTTCCTCCATTCACTAACCATGTGGCCTTGGACAAGTCATATCATCATTCCAAGCCATTTTCTCCATACATAAAATGACAAAGTTTGATACATGTCTTGAGAGTTGTAAAACTCTGACCACCCATCCAATGTTCAAAGTTTAGAGTGTCTTCCCTGGGCTGCATACTCATGCCCCTCTCTATGATTGTAAGTTACTACTTGGCATAAATCCAGACTGAAAGCTGATGAGATACTCCTTAAAAACATCTTACCCCTTAGTAAGTTTCATGTAGAAGAGGAACTCAGCTACATGGATACTCTCATGCAAAAAGTCAATACCCCTCCCTAGAGCATTTGGCTGTGCTTGGAAAACAAAAGTTGTGCATACTTTAACGTTAGACTTCCCATATGTTATCTATGTTGATACTGATCACCATCACTGATCAAGAGTCCAACAAGGTAGACGCAGAGTGAAGATGCCAGACTCTCCTTCACATAGTCATATCCAAATTCCAACTATACCAAGAACAACTCCTAAGAGATAAATGGATGGTTGTCAAGAGTGATGGCATGATTTTAAAAACCGTGTTTAGGCCCTCCCTCGTGATGCAGCAAGTTAAAGCGCAGCACTGTAAGCGAGCCACAGCTGCTTCAGTGTGAGTTCATTCTCCGCCGGGGCGGTGATCACAGGATGCAGCAGACCTCTCCTGTGTCGCCCACTGCTCCCCTCAGCAGTGCATTCGTCAATCTTCCTGTTCTGCCCCCCACTCTGTGTCTGGTGAATCCTCTCACCGCCCCTGCACCTCTGTATGTACCCCATTATTTACTTACGCCTTGTATAAGTAAATAAATCTTTTTTAAAAAGTGTGTATTAAAGTAATACAGAGTAATATGGATTACAAGAGGTGGGGGTGATTTCTGTTAGCAGCAGAGCTGTTAAGTCAAGGACATAAGCCATACTTTGGCCTTTAAAACCCTAACACTATCCTGAACTGCAGGCTTTCGGTGTGCAGGACAGAGGAAGCCCCGCTGGAGGACTATGGAAGTAAGGGTGCTGCTTTAGCTTGAGGCTGTGGCTCCCAAACAAGAACAGTCCGCACCCAAATTGGCTGGGAGAGCCAGATCAGTCACCTGTGTCTCCTCATAAATGAAGCTATTATTTGCTTCCTGCAGCTGTGATTTGAGGAACACATGCTTACTCCACCCTGAGCCAGGACTGAGACAACTGAAAGCTTTCACCAAGCAGAGTTTGAAGCAACTGGAAGTGAACAGCAGGAGGAAGCACCCCAGGATAGGCTCCGTACTTGGTATTGACTGATGGATGCTCCAGGCATTAATGTTGTTGTAACGACTCTGACTCTTCAAAAGGTGGGGGCAATGGAGAGAGAACAACTTAAAATTATCCATTTCAAAGCAACTACTTTTTTTGCAAAGACCCAGGTAAAGAGACATGCAAAAGGCCAACGACAGATAAAAACATGGCTGTGCTGAGAGGCCCTCCTAATATGCCTCTGAAAAATGGTTTAAATATAGGATCGGGCCCTCCCTGGTGGCGCAACCAGTTAGGACGCATCACTGCAAGCTGGCCACTGCCGCATCTGTGAGAGTTTGATCCCCACCCGGGAGGTGACCGACAAGGCGCAGGCAGACCTCTCACAACCCGCCCGCTGCACCCCTCAGCAATGTAATTCTCGATCTGCCTGTTCTGCTCCCCACTCTCTCTGGTGAATCCTCTCACTGCCCTTGCACCTCTGGCTTGTACCCCAGTTCTGTATGAATAAATAAATCTTTAAAAAATATACATGGAGGTCATGTTTAAGCCAATTGGAGAAGTTGATACACTGTAAGACTATAGTCTTACGCTGCTCTGAAAAGGGCTCTCCTCTCCCAGTAGACAGAAGTTTGCCAGAAATTCTCCAACCAGACATACCCATTCTGCCTCACCAATCTCCAGAGCCTTGCCACGAGCTTTATAACCTACCCTCTGTTTTGCTGTCAATGGAATAGGTGCTTTTATTACTGTCATGTGGATCCCGCCATAAATTCATACTGTATTTATATGTGGTTGCCTTGTTGTGTGCTAAGTTAAAGCTGATTCTTTGAAGTTAACATTTTAGAGGTCTAAATTTAGTGTGAAACAACAGCACAGTCCCTGATTCGCTTCCACCTAGGATCTGAGCTTCCCTTCCAGAAATACCTTAGAGAAATTCTCATTGTTGTACATTTCAGCATTCATATTTTTAACAATGAAGCATTAGATATAATTAAAATATCCAATAAGAATGGATCAATAAGTGAAACACTTTGCATAGTTCAAATGAATGCATTAAGTCTATATTTTTCAATATAGAAAAAATTGTTGAGTGAAAAAGCAATGCACAGGTGGATATATAGACTAAGACCTGAATTATGAAGATTATCTTTTAAATATCAGAAACTTGTTTTTCTGGGAGGAAGAATGAGAAAAATCATTTAAAAGAAATTCAAGAGAGAAAATAAGGCAACTAATAATGCAAATCAAATTGTAATACTAGTAAACAACTACTGAAATAAATAAAATTCAATAATGAGTTACTTTGACCTTCTTATAGCAAGCAGTATCTTTCTATTATCCAGTATCTTTTTAAATTCATGAATTTAGCTGTTACAATGCCTGGTGTGTAATTTTGCACTTTTTAAAAGGTCTTCCTTTGAAAATTCAGTTTTGGCTTTCCCATATTACCCTTTCAGAGTATGTGCTATGAGGCTTAAACTGTAACAATTGAACTAATTACTTTTGCAACTCACTTGATTTTGTGTTTACTGGAATTTATATTTCTATGGAAACAAAAATGGACCCAGAACTTCACAATGGATCAGACTGTTTCAAACAAAGAACAAAGCTTTATCCCTAAGGGCACTTATAGTCTATAAGCCCCATGATAGAAAACAGACCGCACAGAGCTAGCCATGTGGGAAGGGAATCCTGGGCTGTGTGTGTTTGTTGTATGGAGAGGCTGTAACAAGAAGAGTTTTCTTAAAATAGATGGATTGTCTGGATACTTTTGAAAAGAGGAGTGCAAAGGACCAACTAATTGGTATTATGCTGTTCTATGTGTCAACGTTTATAAAGAGAAAAGTCACAAAGACTGGTGTGGGCAATAAAAAAAAGAATGTGAAGGGACATTTAAATAGAGTGGTCAGAAGGGATTATGTGGACAGGGCTGGAGGCCTGGGTAAGCACGGAGACTTTCACTGAGGCAGAGAAGCAGATCATGGTCAAAGGCAGATGGATGTCATGTTCAACTCTGGTCTAGGTATAATACTGTGTTTATATGGCAAGGATAAATAGAGAAAGGCCCACAGAACAAAAATAAAAGCTTATTGTATTAATAGAGACAAAAGTTTTATGATAGTGTATGTGTGAAAGAAGAAGCCTAGAATGAAACTGCTGACTCTGTGAATTACTTCCACCTATGTAGAGGGGAGAAAGGAACAGAAAAATATGTCAGGAACATGCTGAGTTATCAGCATGACAACAAATAAGATAAGCATATAGAACTAACTAGGCAAGGATCACAATATTTAGAGTGACAAAATAGTCACTATAAATTTTAAACAGAGGACAGATAGAGGAAGCTTTGAAAAACTGAGAAGTGGGTCATAATTAATAAATTGATAAAGCACAGGATTCTAAGGATGATACAGCAGATACAGAATTGTCAAATTGATTCTTAGATGTGAGGAAGAGGATAGACTATATCTTTTTCTTAGTACTTTTCAAAAAAAAAAAAGACTATTTGTCACACCTTTGTTTCCATAAAGACTTTAAAATAGTTAGCATGGCCTCCCTGCTCTAGGGATCAAGTATCATCACTGTAACTGAATTGTGTTAGGCCAGACAGGTGAACCACGTGGTGCAACAGACCTCTCCTGTCTCTCTACTGCTCCCCTTAGCAGTGTATTTCAGTAAATCCACCTGTTTTGCCCCCCATTCTGTTTCTGGTGAATCCTTTCAAGCCACCCTCACACCCACCCCTGTACCTCTGGCCCACATCCCAGTTATTCTACACAAAAACATAAATAAATAAGTAAAATATTTAGCATCAAAGGTGATTGAGTAAAGAATCTTTTTCTAGTTTCCACATGTTCATTCTCAATCATAATAGATCCAGATTGGATTGAATTTTTTTCTTTAGGTTTCAATACTATTATATAAACCATAATAAAATAGCAATAACATTATTTTCCTCAATCTGGAATCATCAGGCCCTGCTTGGGTAAATGAGAACTACAAGGTGCTTAAGGGAGTTCTTACATCATGCTTTCTAGTAGAGGTGTCAAGGAATGGGCAATGGCTCCTTGATTTTTCTTGGTGCCTGAAAAATCTATTTATTTAAATCGTCATGTTCAGAAATTCATCTCATGTTTCCTGTGCAATAAAAAGGAATAAACTGCTGATTAAAAAAAAGCTAGATGAATCTTAAAACCATTATGCTGGGAATAAGAAGTCTGACACAAGTAGAATACACACTCAATGAATTTATTTGTGCATAATTTCAGAAAGTACACTCTTATCTAGAATGACAATCAGTGGCTTAGGGCTAAGGAAAGAGTATATTGCAAAGAGGCATGAGGAAACTTTTGGGCCAGTGAAACTGTTCTGTATCCTATTTGTATTGGTGGTTTTAGGATACATTCATTTATCAACACTCAGGTAATTATACACTTTAAGTGGATATCATTTTGTACTTGTTATACCTAATTAAGTTATTTTGAAAAGTCAACTGCATAATTATTTCCAAATAAAAAATTCATCCAAAGGGGTAATAGAAATAGATTAGATAAGGGAATTTTCCAATGGTCTGATCAAGAATCAAGGTCTGCCCCCTAGACAGAATTTGAAACATTGACACTGGTATCTTGCTTTGTAAAGCCTAAGAAATCCTTTGCATTCTGAAAGGAGTGTCTGAGAAGGTCCTATTGACAGAATTTCCAACTGAACAAATAGGCTGAAATCACACTACGGACACTAAGGAAGAGTAAGGTCATTGTCCTCATTTTCTGGTTTCCCCAGAAACAGAACAGACAATCCTGTTTTGAGTGCACTGCCAAGAGTCTATGTTCCCAGAGGGCAGGAGCTCTCAGTGAAGGTCAATCCAGGGAGTGTGAACCTACAGATCCTGCAGATCCAGCCAAAGTAGCAGTTGCTGTTCTACTCTGTAAAGTCAGCAACATGTGACTCTCCTGCACAGGCTGAAACTTTCTGTTTTAATGTGTCAGTAGTGAAGATACCAGCAGAGATAAGGCAAGGCAGTTAGCCAGGCAACCTTGCATATTTCTTATATGCAAAAGAGGTTGCTCAGAAAGTGAGCTCTCACCCCATGAACCCTAGGGGAAAGAGCTAGAAGCAGTAGTAACTTTGGTGAAAGGATGTTATTTGACTGTCTTAATGCACTTCTGATTGAAAAAATTTTTTAGTACTTACTATTTCCTACCTCTAGATGACTTTAGGATGAGGCGTACAGAGTCAAGAGTCTTTGCATGGCCTATCAACTATAAAATGGGGATAATAGCAGCAAATATATAATAAAATTGCTGTGTTGAGTAGTATAAAATAAAATATATAAAGCGTTCAGAACATTGCCTAATACACAAAGAATATCCAGATGTAACTATTAGATAAGAAAAATTCAACTTCTTATGCTGAAACCAACTGAGTTTAAAAGTCAGATTAATGTTGGGAAAAAAGAATTGGGGGAAGGGACAGAAGAAGCAAAACAATTTCTGAAATAGAACATGATTTGGGGGGAAGGGTGTTGTTTTCATCCTATCAAAAACAACCATATGAAATGCTCAGTGCCTAAAGACCACATTTTCCTTGACTTTTTCTCAAGAAAGCAAAGGAAATTAATATTTTTAAGAAAATCCATTACTTCATACTTAACACAGCAAGCACTTTATCTCCAGAAATTTCCTCCTTGAGAAATACTGTGAAGAGGGATTTAATTTTTATTATTTTGCCCTGTATTTTCTCAAGCAGCAAACAAAGGCTCTCAAATACAGCTGAGCAACCATCACAGCTAATCACACCATCAAGTGGGACACATTGATCTGATGGGAGAAACTCTTGGGTGCCTGCAGATTGTAGGTCATTTTAAATTGGGGTGTCTTGTTAACAACAAAGAAATAGGAGAATATGTTTTTATAAGTTGAAAGTCTGAACTTTGCATGAGTAGCTAATACGGCAATTGATGAGACAAAGAGCCAAAAATGATTCCTGCAAATACGGAGTAGGAAGAGAGCAACTTTATACACACATAGCGGATTACAAATTGACCACAAATCGAATATAAGTCAACAGTGCTCATGATTTTGGGATATGCAAATAGAAGTCTGTAGTGTATGATTGGAAAAGAACCCTAAAATCCTCAGCATTGAATGCAATTCAAGAGAATAAGCCTTATCTGATACTTTGCAGTTTATCTGGTGTAGGCTATCGAAAGATTTTGAAAAGATTCTTATTTTCATTTCCAGGGTGGGTCTTTCCCTTTCATCTTTTGACATAATATCTGCCCTGATAGGTCTCTAACTGCAACATCTATATTACAATGTGAAATTTACCAACACATTAGGCACCTACCAGGCGATCCTGAATTTTATCTACAAGATTTGGATCACTCAAGAGTAGAATGGGTTCATCAGATGCATCTCCAGATATCAGACGAAGTTTGGCTTCATTGACGACAGTGGAAAGTCCAATGGTAATAAATAATATTCCTGCAGTTCTGGCATCTTTAGAAATACTTTCAACATCTGGATTCTTTGGATGGTCTTTGCCATCAGTCATCAGCAAAGCCACTTTCAAACCATCTTTACGCCCCTCTCTTTTAAGTAGTCTAGTGGCATTAGAGATGGCATAATAAGAAAAGGTACCTTGCCCAATGAAATTCATAGACTTGACCTTCTGTTTAAAAGTCTGCAGATCCTTCCAAGAAGAAAACGGTGGATCAATTTGGACAGAGCTGCTAAACTGAAGGGCTGCCAGTTTGATGTCATATTTCAAGGAGCGAGCCGGGGTCAATTGGAAAAGCTTGTCACTCAAACTGTTCACAAAATCTTTCTGTTTATCAAAAAGAACAATTTTAGAACTTTCGGAGCTGTCCACAATGAAGATAACATCTATGAAGCAAGTGGAGTCTGAAATAAAACAGATAAGTATAGTACTGAACTTTACTCATGAAACAACTTTGCCTTAAAGAGCATTTGATATGGTACTCTGTGTGTTGTTTTTTGTTTGGTTTGATTTTTTTGTTTTGTTGTTTTGGAGAGGAGAACGAAGTGAAAAAGAGAGGCACCTTAAGTTGAAGAGAGGACTTAAGTTGTAAAGAACTAAATATCTCTTTCCAAATCTAAAATTTGTTTTTTTCTTATGAAATTATTAAATAAAAGTAAACAAAATAAAATATATTCTGAGTGTCTTCCTCAAATAAAACCTGTTTTAATTAAAATGGGAGGAAACGAGGGTGTATGATAATGTAATATTCAACAAACATTAAACAAAGTTGCCTAGAAGTAAATAACACTCGACCTAATGCTTGGTCTTGTTTCAGATTCATGAGATTTTATCCCTTTTTGGTGTTTTTGCTTTTTTCCTTAACATTTTTGCAATCAAGGGAGAAAATGGCTAAACACTTCACAGCAAGGGTATAACTTGCTATACCCTCTTAGAAGAAGACAAGCTTTGTTTGAACCCAGCTCTGTATATTATAGGTAAATTTGCCTATGACTTTGAGGGTTCCATATCATCCTGTTGGCCTCAATTTCTTTATCTCCAAGTGATCTCTGTCAGGCCTATTTTTACTAAGTTACTGTGAGGATCAAATGAGTCAATCAATGTACAAATGCTCTAAAAACTGATATTTTCAGGAATATGTACTATAAAAATGTAATGTATATTGGTATGTACAATTATATCAATGCAGAATTGCAGCATGTCACATATTCATATATATGTGGCCTTGGTATTTGGGAAAAATTCACATTGGTGCTTTAACAGGCTAAAACTAATAATTAAAAACAGTTACCTCGGAGATCATTCTTCCTTGTAAGTAAATTTGGCTTTGATCCTTTCTTTCTCTGTCCATATATTGTTGTAGTCATAAAAGCTGGCAAAAGCAGGAGATAAAAGACAAAATGTCTGTTCCACATTATGGTAGATGGTGAAAAATCATCTGCCTTGTAGTACCTTTAATAGAAAAATCAGTTATAAGTAATTCACAAAATATAGTGTTCGCTGTTTTTAATTTCAAGCCAGTAGAACTGAAAATTGTGACTGGACAAAAGGTTTTTATTCATATTTTTAGAAATATCCCCACACTCAAGTTTTTAAAGTTTTAACCTAAATAAATCATGACACCACAACCAAGCATTTAGTAGTGAGCATTTCAATGCATACAAAGAATTACATCCATTTCCACACTCCTCAGAGTGGATTCAGATTGTTATGCAGCAAATACATTCATTTTCATTATAATTCCTGATGATCCCAATATTTGGCTTCAGTTGTAGGGCATTACCACCATTTCAACTTTAACATTACACACACAACCTCAGAGAATTCAGAAGTTAAGTCAAAAATTGAATTGTCTTTCTGTTCCCATAGAACCTTATTTCTCTATTCAACTCTTGTTTTGGAAATGTTCTCTCCACCTTCAGCCTGGACTACAGTACAGAGCCAATGAATCAGAAGGGTATGAGAGCAAAATTAATAGATTTTCAAAGCACACTATTCTTGTGTTGTCAGCTTAACCAATGGACAGAAATAGGACTTGAATGAGGACACACCCTCTTGGGCACCTCTGTGAATCCATATTTCTGGGTAAATTAACAATGAAATATCTAATCTTGTATTTGTATCTTCAACCATCTTCATTACTCAGTATGCTCATCTATGCACCAAATGTTTTCCAAATTCCCACATATTTCCTTGACAAAAAAAAAGACTGATGTATGACCAGCTCAGTATATCCAAGAATAGAAAGAAGAAAGTTTATTTTGAACCAATGTTCTACATGGTTTGAAAACGCTTATCTCCTCAGACTACATTGACTTTCAGAAGTTCTGGAAAAGGAATCACATTTTCCTCTTTGGCAACTTGCCTTGAGGGAATGAGGTTTGGGAAATCATGAGCATAGTTTTTCCAGGCTCTGAACAAGGAGTGGAAATACAGCAAAGGCGATGAGGAATGGGATGAGTGAGTGACTTCTTTTGTACAAGCCAGATGGAGAAACCCCAAATGGAAGCAAAGCTGTTGGGTTGGGGATGGACCAATGTAGGCTCCATGCCAGAACTGTCCCTCTAATAGCTTCATCTAGCTGGAAGTTTATTAAACTGACCTGAATCGGTATGGCCAAATATCTCTGCTGGCAAGCGCATCAAGTGTAATTGGCCAAATGTCAACTGTGTTTCAGACCAGGTTTGCTGAGATGTGAAGACAGCTGGGTTTTAAAGGAGAAAAATAGAACAAGAGCAAGAAAAATAGAACAAGAGCAAGAAAGTGCTAAGGAAATAGAACACACAGAATATTTCTTCCCAAGTATTCCTTTTGCTAATCAAGTTTAACTCTGAAGATTAGCATAAGGATAAGGCTATGTAGCAAAAACACAGCTGAGATGGCATTTTCAGAGGGAGGCAAAGGGCTAACAGATCCCATGCCCCTCTTGCTTACATATACATATCTTTTTTGTTGAGCCTATACCATAAAGAACTAAGTTGAAACCAAGAGAGGTTTTATCAGCTACAAGATCAAGGAAATGCTTCAAAAACTTAGTTAAGATGATGCCTGTATAGGATCCTGAGGGGGAAAAAAAAACCACTTTCTTCTCATTTGTCGGCCTCACTTTGGTGCTGGAAATGCTGGCTTTAAATACTGATCTCTCTTCCTAAGCTGCTGCTTATACAATTTTTTTTTTGGCATTTAATCATGAATTCAAGCCTGATCCATATATATGCAAAACCCATGGGAATGACTTATTATTTAGTAATAATCACAATAGCTCATATTTTATTGTTATTTGCCCTGACATTTTTTAAAATCCAGCTCTCCAAACCAAAGTCTTGCTATTCCTTCTTTTTATTTTTCTATATTTGACCCTAGGGCATTCATACCCTTTTCTACTTTTATTTTCCAGTTTTCAGTTAAACTGCCTTCCTGAAATTCTTTCCTTTGTTAGTTTGGCAACTTAAGATTCCACCTATTTCTGATCACTTTTGCAATTTTGATTTTGTGTAGATTTTTCTCACCATTCTCTCATTTAGATAGCACATAAAATAAAATAAAACTGGCTTCAGGAGGAAATGACATTAATTAAGTGGAAGAAATACAAATCTGATTACTATAAGTTACATGTTATAAATGCAGGAACAAAGATTACCTTTTAACCTAATGTCACATTTTTTTCCTAAAATTTATTTTGGATAAATACAGTTTCAATGACTCCAGTAGCCTTTATATTTTATAAATTTTTTTTCAAAAAAATGAAATGATCTCTCAACAGAACTTACCAAATTTATTCACAAGGTTTACATCTTATTTGTGTCTACATAAAGATAAATGATCAAATAAAGACTTGATTCAAATTGCGAAGGTAGCCCTCTAATAGTGTTCGTCAATTAATACAGAATCACAAAAACGTGCTCCAAATTAAGAAAAATGTTCTGAAAGACACTAATATCATTATAATGCTATGTAGTAGATAGTAAATGGAAAATCAATTAAAAATAACTTTAAAATAAAAATTTCAATTTCTGCATTTTAACAATTATTCCTAACTCTCGTATTTTTTAAATAGCAGAGGATAAAAAGTTTTGATACATGTTCTTCACATAATAGGTATGCAAACCATTTATACTCTAGTTTCTAGATGGTTTTTTTTTATCTAATTTTCAATGATTAAAACAAAACAGTTTTGGCTTACCTTATAAAGTTTGTCAAACAGGAATTAAACACTGCTTAAGCAAGTATCAACAGCAAAGACCATTATTTGGGGATGGAGCTGGCTATTTGATATTGTTCTGTTTTGTGGGAAATAGAAATTGTGTTTGCTTCTGGGTCCTTTGCAATCTCCTATTCATGTTTATTAGACAAAGTTAAAGCAAGAGTGGTCAGGCACTTGGCCAGGGTGCAAGATCTGGGTGGGATCAGAAAGTAAATTAAAGGAGCAGTGTCTTTTCAGATTGAGACTGTTTTCCCAACTGTTTTGGGGAAAAAATGTGAGTAGATTTTATTACTTTCAGGCATGTATTGACAGCCTGCCTTTGTCTCTCATGCTGTCCTTCTTTTCTGTTCCAAGATTTCTTTCCCTGGACTATGCTCTGTAAGATACTACTTCTGAGTAGTTCTATGGCATGCCATCAATAACAACAAGTTCTGATATAAAAAATGATTTTTCAAGAAAGGTAATTTATTGTTAATTACAAAGCTAGATTATGAGCATATAAAGTTCATCATTCTAGTTTTCTATAACTGATTTGGTTTTTTTGGCATTTAAACCAAGAAAATGTTTATTAAATATTAATTTACTGTACAACATGCAAATTTTAAATGTACATTTTATCTTAATGCAAATACAGATAAAGTGAGATTGGTACAGTTTTCCTGAAATGATACATATTGGGAGTAAGATCTTCAAAGCAAAACTTTTATGGTCATTTCTTATTAAATGGTTGCAAATGATAATAGCATTCTTCAAGATGTCTTGTATTTTTTCCCCTTATATCTCTATTCTCCCCTCAGATGTAATTTCCATTATTTTCCCACATCACCACTGAACATCCCCCATAGTCCCTTGTGCTCTTCCCTGTTTTGACCCCTCTCCCTCCCCTTTCCTTGCTGTTTGCCTCAAATCTTTGTTCATCTTGCAAGTTTTGTCTTTTTCCTGATCCTTTGTTCATTTTCCTCTGTTTCACCTATAAATGAAACCACTTGATATTTTTCTTTTCCCTTCTTACTGCTTAACATAATCCCTTCCAGCTCCATTCATGTTGCTACATGACTTTTTCTCTGAGTAGTATTCCATTGTGCATATATACCACATATTTCTGATCTAGTCATCTGTGTTGGGACATTTAAGTTTTTTCCATATCTTATTTATGTAAATAGTGCTGCACTATACAGAGGCATGTAGGTTTCCTTTTGAATTGAATTTTTTGTGCCCTTTGGGTACATTCCTAGGAATGGGGTCACTGGATCATCAGGTAGATCTCTTTTTTAGTATCTTGAGGGACTTCCACACTGTAACTAAGAGTATTTTATTTTCATAAAATAAAGCTCAGATGGTCACGGCAGTGACTACATTCTGTTTCCCTGTTTTCTATCTTGTATTACAGTCCAGATTAAGTCAATATCTACTAACATAAAACCAGAAGCCTCTTGGTTCCTAGTCAACTGCCAGGTGGGCTTTCCTACAGGCAATCCCAGAGATAACAGTATAGCAAGACAATCAGAGAAAGCAATACACATGTGGCTTAAAGTCACCTTAGGAAAATATGTTAAAATTATAGGTCTAATTATTGTAACAATACTACTTTCCATTTTCAGAACTCTTAGCGAGGTTTTAGGCGCTGTGCTAAGTCTGTCACATTATGGCAGACAGCCCTCCAAAAAGCACAACCTACTTATACTAAGTGTTAAAAGAATTCATATTTTGGAGAGGAGGACACTGCAGGAGAGAGGAGTTCCCGAGCTCTCCTGTTGTCGTACGTAGTAAAGTTAGACTAGAATGGTATCTAATGTCAGGACATTTTGATCCCTGAGCCTGACTTAAAACAAGTTGAGTGTTATTAGTGAAGAACCCAGGTGAATGTTCATGTTTTCATTATCTTCTTGCCACAAAACAGTCTTTGAGGAAACAAGGAAATTTTATGGGGTATTGGAAATGCAAAGACAAGACAGTGGGTATATTGCAGAATTCCCAGGAAACCATGCGTAAGTGCCTCGAATAGTCTGCAGATCTTAGACCTGCTTTTCACTTTTGCTAAATGAAGATCAAGGGCAAAGAAGATCAAGGGGCAAGACTACCCCCCTCTTTTGTTGTTGTTTTCAGATGATCAATTTTATTTCTTGGGTTAGATTAATAACTTGCAGAATAACAATTCCTCTAAAAAGGAAAACTGATTTGGTACTATTCTAATTGGAGTTGAGGGGAAGGTGGAATTCTACTTACTTATTCATTTGCCTCCATTCCCCCAAATCAAGTTCAGTAACCCAAGTCCACGGCTTGCCACAGCTCATTCCAAGTGTAGCAGTCAGCTCCTAGGAGAGAGATCACTGGATCATAAGATTGATCTATTTTTAATGTTTTGAGGGTCTTCCATCCTATAGCTGTGACTTTTTTATTTTCATGAAATAAAGCTCATATGGTTATGGCAGTGGCTACATTCTGTTTCCCTACAGTCCAGATTAAGTTAATACCTATAAGCACAAAACCAGAAACCACTTCATTCCTAGACAACTGCCAGGTTATTTCTCATTTAGATAGATGACTCAAAAGAAAATCTTGCATTTTGCCCATTATATAAGGCAATTAGCTTGCACCCAAAGAAATAATATGCTATGGCTAAAGACTGCAGTCTTACTTCTGTGAGTGGTGTTGAGTCAGGGCTCAGTGGACATAGACTAACGAGAGGCTGCAGAAGCTGAGAGTGGCCAGAAAAAGACCACTTGGAGCCCACACGCCTCTGACTTACTTGGTCTATAGAAAAGTCTTTAGAAGAAAATTCACCATTTTACTGTTCCACCCTACATAAGATTGGTGTATATATGTGTTGATTGAATGACTACCAGTAATTTTTAAGTGTTTATTAATCATTTGAGAAACTTGAAAAAACACATCTCCCACAGAGCACTGCTTGGTAGGAAGTCCTTTTTAACTTTTTCAAGTATTTTTAATATTCTACCGAGTAGATTCGATACTGGATTTATTTGTTTTGGTTCCAGGGGCCAAGATCTACATTTCAGGAGTGATGGTATTTGAGGGGTTCTAATTAAAGTCTAGAAGGTGTGTGTATGTGTGTGTGTGTGTGTGTGTGTGTGTGTATATGGATAGCTATAGACATGACACTTAATTTTTAGTTTTATTTTTCTACCCATAACTAAATAGATCTTAAGGAAGTTTTTATCTTTATGAAGTTCTTTTTATTACTTTATTTTTGTGTGTAGAAGAACTGGGGTGTAGGCCAGAGGTACAAGGGATGAGAGAATTCACCAGAGACACAGTAAGAAGCAGAACAGGCAGATTTAGTGATATACACTGCTAAGGGGAGCAGTGGGTAAGACAGGAGACATCTGCTGGGTCATATAGGTCACCTCCCTGGCCAGCCAGGGATCAAACTCAGGCCATTGCAGTAATAACACTGAAAATTACCTCCTAGGCCACCAGAGAGACCCCCTGTATGAGGTTTTACCAACACACACCAGAAGGCCATAACATTTCAGCCCAAATTTACACATATGGACCAAGACCAAGCTATAGTGGAATATTTCACAATCTTTTCCCAACTTCAGTCATCTTTCACACTGCTGTGCAGAGAAGAAAAGAACATTATCAACTATTACAGAAGAAGTCAATAACTTTCTTAACCAATCTGGAAACATTTTCCAGTACAGCTCCTCTTCTGATGTTTTCTAGTATAAACTATCCATACAGTAGGATTTCAAACACTTTCCCCAAAGCTTTGAAGTTCCTGACACTTGTCTTTCCTGGATCCAGCAGAATAACTTGGATATTCTCTCCAGTAAAAGAGGAAAGCACCAAAGTAGAGTTGGTCCTATTTCTCAACTAAACAAAAGGTTAAAAGCTTTCCAAGGTCACAGACAAATGAGAATTATCATTGGTAATAAAACATAGAAAATATGGCTTTCTTAACTCTGGAACACTTACTGCGGGGTCTCTCTCCTCATCACATTCGGATTCAATTAACTCTTCCATATCCCTTCCACTCATTTTTTTCCTACTTTTTAGCCCTTGATACATCTTGCTTTGTTATTTGTCATGTTGAATAATTGTTTCACAAATGCAACACATGGGCCCAACACAATGATGACAGTCCAATCTTATCACTGTTAAAGTCTTCCTGTCCAGTCTTCCTTCAGCATGGACTTTCCCCTTCCTGTGTTGTTTATTCTTTATAAGAGCAAATTATTTTACATCCAAAGATCAGAAAAACTTACAATTTTCTTTTCTAGAACACATCTTTTGTCCCTTCTCCTCTTTTATGACTTTTTAAAACTATCCTTTTCCCTAGAACTCACCCTTCAGGAAACTGACAAATATAGCAAATTAATTATTTAGAGAATATCTGAAAGTTGCTAGGTCTTGTCCTATCACAGGTGTGAAAATTCAGTGTTTTTTTTTTTTAAAGATTTATTTATTTATTCATACAGAACTGGGGTACAGGCCAGATATGCGGAGGCATTATATAAGGCAATTAGCTTGCACCCAAAGAAA